GCAGCTAAGAGAGAGGCTCCACACTCCAATCAATGAGCATAATGTCATTGGCAACACTACTGGACCCTAGGTTCAAATTGATCGGGTTTTTTAGCCCTTCAAAAGCTGCAGAAGCCACAAAAAGGCTTGTGGCTGAATGTGGTGCACTGATCCGAACACCTGAAGATGTGCAGCCAGAAGAAAATCCATCCACATCTCAACCTGAACAAGAAATCCCAGGTAATTTTATTAATTTTAAATCAATTTGAAGTAATTACTACAACATCCACTGACACTCTCTGTGTATACTTTTCAGGAAACAAACTCTGGCAAAAATTGGATCGGACTGTAAAGCTGTCCAGAAAGACCAAGAATCCAACAGCTGACGCAACTGTTGAAGTCCAGCGGTACCTGGCTGAACCAAATATCGGACGCTTGGAGGACCCTCTGAACTACTGGCAGACACAAAGACATGTGTATCCAAACTTATATACACTTGCTGTAACTTTCTTGTGCACACCTGCTTCCTCAGTCCCGTGTGAAAGGGTATTTTCAAAGGCAGGAGAAGTTGTGTCCAAGAAAAGAAATCGCCTAAGCCCGAAAAGTGTGGAAAAAATATTGTTTTTAAACAAAAACCAATAAAATTGTTCCATGTATCACAAGCATTTTCACTGGCCTCTGCAAAGTCACACAAGCACATTCACTGGCCTCTGCAAAGTCACACAAGCACATTCACTGGCCTCTGCAAAGTCACACAAGCACATTCACTGGCCTCTGCAAGTTACACAAGCATATTCACTGCCCTCTGGCAAGTTAAACCCTTGTTCTTTTCCAGTTTTCGAACATATATTGCTTCTTTTGTCTTTATAGAAGGCAGCAGACATTTACATTTATTTATGTATAGATGTAACAACAAGATACTATATTGACACATTGTTTTTATTATTATATACAGTCATTTTAAAACACTTACTGGTGTAAAATTCTGTTCATACAGGATGACAAATACATTTGACATCTTTTACCTTTTTGTATCATTATTTCCAGTATTTTTAGTATGTCAAAGATTACAAATAATATGTGGCTGTTTTACACCTGTTCACCAACAGGGGGTCTTGTGAGCACATGAAGCCCATGATGAAGCTTCATGAGATGAACCTTTTAGCGAACCGATTTGCTGGAAAGCTTCAAAGCTTCATGAGGCTTCATCTCGTCATCACTACGGAAAACTACTAAAGAAGCAACAACAAAAAACAACCAACTAGGTTGGTAAAAATGCTAAGCAGCTAGAACAATAGCTTACGTCAGGAGAGTAACATGGCACTTGCTGCTATACAGACAAGACGAACTGGCACTGACCAAGGAAACAGCACAGACTAAATACACAGGTGATGAGTAATGATTAGGGACAGCTGAGACTCATTGAGGCCAGGCAGGTGATTAACAGGGAAGGAAAAACACACAGGTGAGGGAGTGAGGCGATCAGCCAGGGCCAGGATGTGACAACTATGCGTCTATCCAGAACCAAAAGTGATGTCTTGTGTCTTGTCTTATCATTGCCAACAGTATGCACCCAAAGGTATTTACAAGATAAGACAAGGAAATACAGCTAAAACAATCCTTTCAGCTGAGTTGCTTCAGCCATCATTTTCACTTCCTTAGATTAATTCATTGGTAACAAAGAAGCTGCTGATAAGGAACTACTGGTGTCAGCTTACTGACTACTCAGCACACAAAACCAAAGACATTGTTTTCATTCTACTGACCTGTTTTTAAAACCATAAGCACTGTGTTAACAGTCCATCCTTTAGTTTTGGTTAACGGCGCTGCGCCCACCAAATAGTAATCAAAGTGTGTCTTAAAGCATCAACACTAAAAATACTCTGTCAAATAGCAAATTGGTATTTTAGCTTTCTCTAATATTGACAGTTTGTCTTTGTTGTCTCATTAAATCATCTAACCAGTCACATTGTACGTTTAAAAGCATCCATTGTTACATGTCAGAGGTGATTTGAGGTTCACAGAAACTATCCAAAAGGACAGCCACAGTCGTGTGGACTTTTTTCTCAGTTGTCTGTGTATCTGGAGCTGTATATCATACTATATTCCTGTTAACTTAAAGCAAGTAGCTACAGAAGTTGTTGAGATATTGTATAAGTAGTCTAGATTGAAAGTCAGGTCAACAACAAAGTTATTTCCCATTGTGATTGTTATTATTTAAACTTATTCTTTGAAAGTTTGAATGTGCTTGCCTTGAACTGATTAATGGACATTCATACTCTGAACACTTTAATGCAAAATAATCTTATAGAAGGTATTATGTAAACAGACAAATTGGTCATCAACATGTAAGATACTCAATATAATCAAGAAGTTTAAAGAGAACTCAAACATGATGGGTGACAATTGATGACTTTTCTTAACTCTATCTGGTATACTGTCTGTCAGATAAAACAACCTGTTTCATTCTCTTGTGATATGAAGAGTTTATAATATTGTGCCAAGAAAGAGAAAGAAAATCTAACCAAGTGGGTTTACTTTCCAGCTTGTTCCAGCTTGACAACATTCCTGCCCTCATGTACAACTTAGTGGGAAAGGTGTTGTCGTTTCCCACTAAGTGATACATCTATTAGGTCATAGAGTTGTCATCACCCTCACATATTAATACCATGTGATAATCCTTTTTAAGACGGCTAGCTTTGACAGCAATGGTGTTACAGAAAGTGTACAAAGAGATGCACGATAAACGTAAGTTGCACAAAAAAAAAGATTGAAAAATAAAACATGTGAAGCATTGCTTTTGAATAATCAGTTTATTAATGAATTTAAGGCCACTCTGGACTGTGCAGAATTCATAAAGAGCAGAAATAACTCACAAAGTCACGTTGCTCTTGGTTACTTCAGTGCTACCCTGTGATGACTGCTTTCTATTGCTGCTGATCTACATCAGAACGGAGTCAAATCAAACGTAAAGTAGCTTAAATCAGAAACACAAAACATCAGGTCGAGTGTTGCAGTTGATGATGGAGACTGTATGCTGTGACTTTGGGAATATAAGCTTCCTTTGTACATCTTTCTGAGAAATGCCCTACTTTAATCCTTACATTTAACAGTGAGGAGCATTCCCCACAGCAGAAACTTGCATTTACAGTCACAATAACGGTTCCAGTTCACAACATAGACACTTCAGCATGCTTCATTTTTCTAGAGGAGCACTGATATGTATCATCTTCACATTGTGCTCGGTACACTTCTTCGCTAATAGGTTTGTTGCCATGCATATTAAGTCTTGATATAAAGATGCTATTGTATTAGTGAGCACAAGTTGAAATACCACTATTATGTGTTGCTAAGGCCATAGGAGTCGAATATGAAGTCACATCAAAATGAAATACAGTAATATAGTCATCTAATTATGTAAATCACAGGTGGACACTGTCAGAGCTCAGATTCGTCCTCTAACACTTTCACTTTGAAAAAGGTTTGTTTCTTGTTTGCACTATAGATAAAGAAAAAATACAGAGGTCAAATAAAAACACATATCAATTATTTAAAAAATGCTGATTCCAGTATGACAAGTGCTGATTTCATGTGTCCCCAGTGAAATTCTAAAGCGAAGAAAAAACAGCAAGAATATTGTTTTAAAAAAAAACAAAAACGACTCACACTTATATTCAAATCAAGCCACACTTTTTAGAGATATCCTATGATCACTGTCAACACATAAGCCCAGAGTACTAATACTATCTGTCTGATTGTTAAAAAATAAAAAGCAAAAGTTCATACAATATTATTGTGAGGCTTATGTTGTTGTAGATGTAAAAAGAAGATAAAGATGAAACGAGAACTTGAAGTGAATTGAAGACGTCTTTTAAGGACTAGGGTTGAGTGACTAACTGTTCAGCAGGAAGCTGGTATTTCCTCGGCAGCTGTTGTGATGGTGCCGAGACTTACCAGTTTAAATATGAGTCTTTGAAACGAGCCCCTCGGATACATTTTCTCATCTGGAAAACTGACTAATACTGCCTGCCGATCACAGTAGCATACATTTACTGTTTGTTTAATGTCAGCTGGTTGAACAAAAGGGCGTGTTTACCTTGAACTGGGTGTGGAGCTAAGACAACTTTTGGTGAAAAAACAACGACACCCACGGCTTCATACAAGGACAGATGAATGCAAAATGGAGGAGAAATCTCAATAAATTAATAATTAAACAATGAACCGATTTTGCTCTGACCATGTGAGAGTCACTGCACAGACCAAGACAGCACAAACATAGCCTTTAACATCCTTTCACAATCCTTAACACAGTCTTCTGATATGCAGTCCATCTGACAGGTATCCAGTAGTTTTGGGAGACATGAACATCAATAGGATGTGTCTTCTGGATACCAAGCATATCAGTGCAACACTTATGATAAATAAAGTGACATTTTGTAGAATCAGCACAGCACACCTGCAGTTTGTGCTAGTCCTGTTTCTCTAATGGGAATTTGATTTGAATATCTGTTAATTGCTAAAAATGCAACATGAATTTGATTTGGGTTGAAAATGTTTTTTTATATAAAAACTGAAAAATATAATATTTGTGGTGCTCAAAGTTTTGTGGCTGCGTCCATTTCTTTTCAAGTACTGTATTAATTGCAATATTTTAAATGATAAAGTGCTCACATTAGATTACATTTCTTTATTGTGTAAGAACATTAGTAAGTTCAATTAGTTAGTAAGTAATCTGACCCATCCTCTTTGTCCTTATAGGCCCATCATTTAATAATCTGTCCACAACTCTCACATACTGTAAAGTCTACTATATTTAATTTTATATAATTGGTGTTGCCTCCATATCAACCACCAGGTCATCAGTTTGGAAATTTCCCCTTTATCAGGGCTTGTATATGCAACATCATCCATGCAGTCACATGTCCTTTTGTTTATGACAAATGATTGTATTCTCATTGGTTGAACACTACATTCGTACAGTATGCCTGTCATCTCTGAGCTATTACTCAGGAATAGATGATTCCTTGGAAGGCCATGACTCAGATCCAAGGAGGTGTGGACAAACAGGTACAAAGAGAAGCAACCCTGTTCCCTTTTGTTCAGACCTGCTCTCCCTCCACAGCAGGAAGGATTCCCTCTTCAGTAGAAAGGTAAGCACCTTAACGGCTTTTTGTAACATATGTAAAGAGAACCTCAACTACCAGATATAAGATGTTAAGAAACATAACAGAATGTACTAGTTCACTAGTCGCAGTACTCCCTCCGTCTGTACATTGTGAGACGTCAGTCACTAAAGTATGAGTATTCTTCTAAATCTTTTAGTTAGGAACATAAGTATGACACATGTATGAGCAAATATTGTGTCCGGGATAATAGAAATATAAACTTTCTTGTGGATTAACCCAGTGCTTGAATTGGGCCGGTACTTCACCGGTACGCAGTACCGGGACTTCTGATTTGTACCCATCTGCGTACCGTTACTTCTTACTGCGTACAGGCACCTCATGACGCATGTGTCCTCCCTGGCAGCTCCATTGATTCCCTCTCTCCTTTACTGCTGAAAGATGCATGAGTGTACTCAGGGACGAGGAGTCATTTAACCAACCGCCAGTAGGAGTCAGGCTTTAGCCATATCCGCTGCCTTTCATACTTTTTTTTAAGTACAGTGAGCTTTTCTAAAATATACAGTAAAGAGAACAAACCCACCAGCATTATAGGATACTATATGACCTGAATGCAGGCACATGTATAGGCTACGTCATGTTCTCTATGAGAGCCCCGGACACCTCCCTGATTAGTTGTGGAAAAACAGGCAATTTCTGGACGTTACAGTACTTTTTTTTTTTTTAACTTTTCCTTGTCTGTTAAAGTTTTTTGTGTTTCTTTTTAATTACTGAATCAAAGATATGAGGATAAGGATAGAGGGAGTCGTATGTTGCACAGATTGTAAAGACCTTTGAGCCAAATTCTTGTTTTTGGGCTGTATAAATAAAATGTACTTGAAACAGTTGCTGATTTAGAGTACTGGTACCCTTTTTTATTCCAATTCCAAAATGATTTGCAAAATGATCAAGGACTTAAGTTGCTTTAAGTCTTTTCACTGGAGGCCCCTCTTCTGTCTTAAAAAAGATAAACGTGTATGTTTAGATCAGACCAGGCTTAGTTGTGTTAAGTGATTTAAACATTGGTTAAGATTTTAACTAGCGATTAGCGATTTTAGCTCCTACTGAACTGATGGGTTAAATGCAGAGGCTACACTTAAATGTGTGTACTGTGCTGGGTACATGTGTGGCGGTAAAAAGTGGTTTTGATCCAAATCCTCAACAAGGAGAACAAGCACACAGCCTAACTAAATAACATTGACACTCCCTTACTGAACATTGTGATCCAATTTCTTTGACAGTCCCATTCATGCTGAAAGATGCCTGGATGAAAACTACCAGTAGTAACATTTGTCAGTGTTATAATTTATTTGCAATTGAGTCTTATTTCACTTGGGTACAAATCTAATATTGAATTGAATACTCTTATATTTGTATTTCAAGATTTATCTTTAAAGAAACTATCTTAAGAATCAAGATAGTAGTAATTAAGTAGTGTAAAATGGCAACATTAACCAAAAGTATAACATTTTAGAAGAAAACTCAGTGCTTTCTACTATTGTAGACTGTTTTGATTTAGTTCGGTAGCTCTCTTAATAACCTTAAAAATGTACCTGATGTACAACGCGGATTGGAATTCAATTTATCATGAGTCGTCTGTTTGCTTGTCAAGATAACATAATCTTAACCTTGCTGTTATTTTTAATTTTTTTAAAAAAAATTTCCAAGTCTTTTTATTTCATTATAGTGTACAATAATCGATGCCATTTCATTTATATTGTAATATCACAGTACACTCACTACACTCCCCCCTCCCTCCCTCCACCCACACATACCCGCACAGGCAAAACCAAAAAATGCTTATCAATATAACTTAAACAACAGAGCCATGAAAATAAACATAAAAAGGAAAAGGAAAAAAAATAGAACCAAAAAATAAATAAATAAAAAATAAAATAAAAACCAAACAAGTAAAACAAACAAATAATTATACAATACAAATAATTATACAATACAGTGACAATGTAGACAATGACAACACCATAACACGTATTTCCGGCCGTCAGGACAAATAGCCACAGAATGCACCATTCCATCACTGGTCATATCTCAGATATGTTTTCCAAATAAGAAAACAATGGCAACCTTGAAGCTTGAAAAATATGTCCACGATTATATTTTTCCAATGTCATTTTCTCCAGAGGGTAAAAAATGTGTTATCTGATCAATGAAAAAGTTTAAATGTTGGGGGACGTTCATTCTTCCAGAATAAAAGTATACATTTCTTGGCAAAATATGTTATTGTGATTAGTATTCTGTAATGTTTTGGGTTCAGTTTAAAGTTTGGCATGTCATTTAACAGGAAAAAAACATGGATTTAGGCTAATTTCCATGTCTAAAACGGCTTTTGTGAGAGCATGAATCGAATCCCAGAAATGTTTCAAGAGATCACAATCCCAAAACAGATGCATAAATGTTCCTTCTTTTATTTTACATCTCGGACATTTTGGAGAGTTTTCTTTGGAAATGTTATGCATCTTTATGGGTGTGAGGTAAAATTTGTTGATAAATGTAAAGTTTGCTTCTTTGATTTTATTGCTTGTGAATGGAAAATGTGTTCTTTCACAAATATTCAGCCAAGTAGTTTCATCTATCTGTATCCCTAAGTCCTTTTCCCAGATCTTTTTTAAAGTTAGAAATGATGACTGAGCTCTTTTAGAAAAAACTGCATTAAATTCACTAATTTTACCTTTGATCGTGCTCGATGACATCAATATCTCCTCCTCTTCTAACAATCCCGATCTCAATTTATTGCTTTTAATAATTGATTGGATCACGTTCCTAATTTGCAGGTATCTGAAAAAATCCTTATTTGAAATGTCATATTCTGCCCTTGCTGTTATTTGATCTGTTCTTGTAGCACAGTCAAAACAACAAACACATAGCAAGTAGTACGCAAAGTGATGAAGAGGAAAGTCCCAAAAATCCCAGCAACATTTACAAGAAAACCTTCATTGGCCAACAGGAACAGCGCTCACAAACAGACTATAGAACAGCATCTAAAACATCTTCATTTTTGAAAGCCTAAAAAAATATGTTGAACATGTTCTTAACCAAACTGCCAAAAGTGCAGCTTTTCTGCAGTTCAGTCCCCTGTAATTAAATGTTTTGAGGTTGTACATATTTATTGTCAAAATGCCCTCACAATCTACCTCCTATCTACTAGATGGCATACTCCACCAGAACAATCGCAGAAGGCTGTTTTGGGAAGGTCTACAAGCAGAAGTACAACGATACCTGGGCTGCTATAAAGAAAGTCCCACAAGACCTCATCAGCAAGTACGACCTGGATAGAGAGACTGAAGTGTACAAGTAAGTACACATGATTTAGTTATGTTTGCAGACCCAAAAGAAAGCCAAGCAGGATATAAAAAGATAAAGAGAAATAAACACAAATATATAATAATGTAAGTGTATACCTTATAATGCAATAAGTTGCAATTCTTGAGACTCAACTCTTTTCCAATACCAAAAAAGACAAAAGTAGACATACCATTTACAGCCACTATATAGATAATATAACACACAGTTTAATAACCATAACAATTGTTGGTGTTATCTTCCAACCAAAATATGTGAACCATTCTTTGAAAAAAGAATCTCTGATGTGTGTGTCTTTTACTTCTAGGTCTCTCTTAAACACAATTACCCTCTATACAGGTACCCAGTAAGTATCTAGTTGGTTCTTAATTTGATCTTATTTGTCTTTTTCTCTCTCTCTCCATGACTTTCCACCACTGATCTGCAGGAAGGCAAGTCATCCAAATATTGTGAAGCTACTGGGGAAAATAGATCTCAAAGACGGAAAATGGATTATTCCTTTAGAGTTTATCTTTGGAGAAGACTTGGAGACCACCATCTTTAAAGAAGCACAATCTAAAATAAAGGTAAAGTTATCATGTCAACAAACAATAGCTTCACAATTCTTCAGAACAGCAGTTTTATTGAGGCCTGAAGGGAAATGATGTAACCTAATGTGAGAAAAGTGGATTTGACTCTAATGTGGCTCATACTTGATGCCAGTCTGGTTAAAGTTGATCTCAAATGTCTGTCTCTTGCAGTTGACTCCGTCTATCAAAGGAACTATCATCACCGGCATGTGTGAAGGGCTGCACCACCTTCACTCCAAAGATATTGTCCATCAAGACCTCAAGCCTGACAACATCATGGTGAGTGGAGGCCTGTGCAGACTGTCAGCATGCACAACACAACAGAGATTTACAGGGGACATATAGTCCTGACTGAATATGTAACTATAAGATGACATTACATTTTATTAGAGATATCCATGGAGCTTAAAGAACTAATTCTAATGATTTTGCTCAATGCCTGACATTTCCTCTTGCGCCACGATGAAGTTCACATTTCCAGATGTTAATAAACGTCTTACCAACTACTGACATGAGATTTAATACAAGCTTTTAAAAAAACCCTCAGGATAACTTGTAATAACTTTGGTGAGCCCTTAACTTTTCATCCAGCTACATCATTAGGTCTAATGTTTAATTTGTTTAATATGACTAAATACCTGCAGCCTCAGATTGACTTAGCGTTAAATGCTCACTAAACAAGAATACCATGCTAACAAGCTAAACTGGTGGAGCTACTAGTATGGCAGTAGACTATTCCATGATACTTGTAATCACTGGGCAGTAGCTGAAACCGAATGACGGCCTTATTGCACGTCTATCCACTTTTAAATCTCTGTGAATTGTTTTTTTAATTTTGTAAGAATATCAATTAAATAAAGTTCATGTGTCCTTCAGGTGGAGCATGACACAAACAGAGCGGTCATCATCGACCTGGGATTGGCTAAGTTCTTCCGGTATGGTCAAAACTCTGCCAAAGACGAGGGGAATAATGCGTACTCTGCCCCTGAGGTTCTGCAGAGGGGCAGTCAGAGGGACCAGCGCTCAGACGTGTGGGCAATGGGTAAAATCATCGCCGAGCTCTGTGCCCGGGACCGGCTGTACACGCCCAGCGTCTGTCCAGCTAAGATCAATGATATCCTGAAGGATCAGCCTTACTGCCATGTTGTGTGTAGGATGGTGCATCCCGACCCTACTCTGAGAGCCTCCATGGGTGGGGTCATGAGTGAGATAAAAAGGGTCGGAGGTCCAGGCAATAACCCCGTTAAAAAAGATTACCTTAAGCCAGCAACACCTCACATCAGTGTCGGAAAACTGTCTCCAGCACCTGGTCACAGAGGTGCATCTCCAATGACCATGGAGAAATCGCCACTGAAATTGGAGCGCTCACCGAAACCAGAGTTCAAAGCTCCGCCTCCTCGAGCAGCAATGCCCCTTCCTCCTTCCCCTTATAGGACGGAGGACAAGAACAAAAACCAGGGTCTGGTCCCGACAGGCAGAACTGAGCGCACCGAAGACCTCATGAAAGGGAAGTTTTTCCAAGGTGCTGACCAGAACCTGCCCAGACACCTGCCCACAACAGGAAGGGTGGTGACGCAGAGCTATGAGATTAAAAACAGGGAGGTTCAAACATGGAAGCAGGAGGTGGTGACTGAGGGTGGACAGATGGTCAAGTTTGTTGATGTCAAGTATAATAGCAAGATAGAATAAAGGGATTTCTTATTTGGCAGATAATGTACAGTAGCTCCTATAAAAGGATTGAATGTGCTGGTTCACAACGATTAGTGCAGGGTCACCTAGCTTTTGGTATCTTTTAAGAGAGCATGTTAAATACTTTTCCAATGAATCAACGTGTAAACTGGGATGAAACTACAGGTGCTTGTTTTTTTGCACACATAAATACGAAAATGAAAATAAATGATAGGTTGAAATGGTTTTGAGGAAACATAGAGAAGAGGCTTTGGTTCTGCTGTAACAAGTTATTCAGCCATGTTAGGAATTTGTTTGATATCTAATTTACTTGGCAAGAAAAAGATATCTGCAGGCACGAACAACCATCTGTGAATGTTTTATCAGTATCTGAATGCATAACACTGTGAACATGGCTCGTACATTATGTGTATTGTTTTGTATATAAATAAATCCTGATATCTCAATTACAGAGGCGGATTCAGGGTTTTTTGTAATGAAAAGAAGCAAGAAAACTATAGTTGATCGCTGTAAACTAAAATGGTTTCTGAAATCAGAGTAAGACAACATGGGCCAGGAGCAAACTATAAAATAATACTGTTTTTTGCTGTTTTTATTAGGTCTTAAATTGGTGACTTCTATGGCTAAACATACAAGCTACATACTTCATTTATGGATCAAGACAGTCTCAGGTTAGGAAAATGTGCAGTGTTATTTGTTTGTTAAAAAAACAAACTTGTTAAATGATTTAATGAATCTTGGTGGATCAGTTTGGGTAAGGACAAAGACGTTTTTGGCCCTCCAACCATAGCTCGGCTATCATTTTTATTTAATTTGTATGAAAAGCTCTTTGCACTTCAGCCCAAAGCCACTAAACTTGGATTTGTAGAGGAACATATTTTTGGCCTAAATGTCTTGGTTCAAATTGGTAACTTTTAACACTGACCCCCCTGTGGCCCCCCTGAAAATGAAAAGTTTATGATTAAACGATTTATTGGCTGACGGAATAGGCGGAACTAACGTTATTTGTCATTCTAGTAGTAAAAACTGTAACTATAAGTATCTGAAATAAATATGTGTACCAATAACTGTATTGCATTGTTTTCTTATGCGCAATTACTTCATACTGTCTTTGTCTTTTTCGTCCTGCATTTATTGTGCCCCTCTCAGAAAATAACTGGCCCCAGCCTGGCCCCCCCCCAGTCAAATTGGTCTAGAACCGCCACTGCCTGTAGGTCATTATTGAGTATAGGTATTCTTTGACAATTTTAGCTCCTATCAGCCACTATGCGTCTATCCAGAACCAAAAGTGATGTTTTTGTGTCTTGTCTTATCCTTGCCAACAGTATGCACTCAAAGGTATTTACAATGTAAGACAAGGAAATACAGCTAAACAATCCTTTCAGCTGAGTTGCTTCAGCCATCATTTTCACTTCCTTAAATGACTTCCTTGGTAACAAAGAAGCTGCTGATCTATATAAGAAACTACTGGTGTCAGCTTACTGACTACTCAGACACACAAAACCAAATACATTGTTTTCATTCAAATTGGTATTTTAGCTTTCTCTAATATTGACATCAGATATTCAGACATATCAGAGGTGATTTGAGGTTCACAGAAACTATCCAAATAAGGACAGCCACAGTCGGTGTGGACTTTTTTCTCAGTTGTCTGTATCTGGAGCTGTATATCATACTATATTCCTGTTTAACTTAAAGCAAGTAGCTACCGAAGTTGTTGAGATATTGTATAAATAGTGCTAGATTGAAAGTCAGGTCAACAACAAAGTTATTTCCCATTGTGATTGTTATTATTTAAACTTATATTCTTGGAAAGTTTGAATGTGCTTGCCTTGAACTGATTAATGGACATTCATACTCTGAAACCTTTCATGCAAAATAATCCCAGAGTGTAAGATACTCAATATACTTATGAAGTTTTAAAGAGAACTCAAAACATGTTGGGTGACAATTGATGACTTTTCTTAACTCTATCTGGTATACTGTCTGTCAGATAAAACAACCTGTTTACCTTCTCTTGTGATATGAAGAGTTTTATAATATTGTGCCAAGAAAGAGAAAGAAAAATCTAACCAAGTGGGTTTACTTTCCAGCTTGACAACATTCCTGGCCTCATGTACAACTTAGTGGGAAAGGTGTTGTCGTTTCCCACTAAGTGATACATCTATTAGGTCATAGAGTTGTCATCACCCTCACATATTAATACCATGTGATAATCCTTTTTAAGACGGCTAGCTTTGACAGCAATGGTGTTACAGGAATTGTACAAAGAGATGCACGATAAACGTAAGTTGCAAAAAAAAAACGATTGAAAAATAAAACATGTGAAGCATTGCTTTTGAATAATCAGTTTATTAATGAATTTAAGGCCACTCTGGACTGTGCAGAATTCATAAAGAGCAGAAATAACTCACAAAGTCACGTTGCTCTTGGTTACTTCAGTGCTACCCTGTGATGACTGCTTTCTATTGCTGCTGATCTACATCAGAACGGAGTCAAATCAAACGTAAAGTAGCTTAAATCAGAAACACAAAACATCAGGTTGAGTGTTGCAGTTGATGATGGAGACTGTATGCTGTGACTTTGGGAATATAAGCTTCCTTTGTACATCTTTCTGAGAAATGCCCTGCTTTAATCCTTACATTTAACAGTGAGGAGCATTCCCCACAGCAGAAACTTGCATTGACAGTCACAATAAGAACGTTTCCAGTTCACAACATAGACACTTCAGCATGCTTCATATTTTTCTAGAGGAGCACTGATATGTATCATCTTCACATTGTGCTCGGTACACTTCCTCGCTAATAGGTTTGTTGCCATGCATATTAAGTCTTGATATAAAGATGCTATTGTATTAGTGAGCACAAGTTGAAATACCACTATTATGTGTTGCTAAGGCCATAGGAGTCGAATATGAAGTCACATCAAAATGATAATACAGTATATAGTCATCTAATTATGAAAATCACAGGCGGACACTCTCAGAGCTCAAATTCGTCCACTAACACGGACAAATGCCCAATGTCATGATGAAAAAATAAGTTCTCAGTACAGCATTCAGAAAATAAATCACTTGTAATCATCATGGACCATCTTCATCTCTTCACAAAAAATAAACAACCGTAAATTATGAGTGTTTTGAATACATGTTGGTGTGAGATTCTTTGAACAACATACAAGTATTGATAGGAAGAGATGAAAGGTATGTACATAAGAGTAGTACGGAAATCATTCACAACAAAGTATACACACACACACAATGTTTTATCCCTCGACACAGCTTTCCATGCAGTCATCTTTGGTTTCAGCCTGTTCACCTGCCAGTACAGCCACTCTCAGTGGAAGAGGGGACTGTTTCTTTTTTCGCATGTTTACAATCAAATCTGTCAGAGTGGAGAGAAGCGAAGGAGGAGCAGACATGCAGTATACGGGCACAAGTGGAAAGGAAATGGCAGATGTTTCGATGTGAAGGCTTCCAGAGTAAGATTATGGAGAAACTTGAAAATTACACGGGGACAAATAGTTTCTGTGTGTTTGAAAGGGGAGAACAGAAAAGAAAAATAAACATTGTGGTGAGACTATAGCAATATTGCTAAGAAACCGTGAAATTATATAATCTGCTTAATTTTAACACAGTTTCATTGAGTGCCATTTAGACACTATTCTGTGGCGGTTTTAATGAATCATATCCTAACAAGAAGTCACAGAATTCTCTCAAAACACAAACAAGATCATAATATTCCTTCAATAGAACTGAGGTAAATTATATATATATATATTTTTACTTTTTTGAGTGCATTTCTCCATGATATGTATAGATTAAGGAAAGGAAGTGGGCAAAAGATACATTATAACATTTGACTGCATATAAAGTGTTGTGGGAGTAAGCCAGCACTCTTAGGGGGAAACATCTACATAAGGAGATGTAAAGTACACTGCACATGATCAAATGATAAATAAACATTTTCTTAAAGCAAGACAGACTCCATTTTGATGTGAATCTCAAGCTCATCTGAAGGCAGAGGACTGATCACCGTCACAAAGAGGTGCTCTATTGGATAAAGGTGAATGCACACAATAACAAAAAATCAAATGTAGATATCCCATATGCTGAAATGTGAAAGGCTGAATTGAATGCACTACCTTTACATAGAACTGTACCTTGGCCTTGGTTTACAGAACCAAGACGTAAAATGAACTCTTATTCTCGTTAGCATTTCCACTGAAAATGACATTAAATGTACAGCATCTGTAACTTTGAAAACATTTGAAGGATTTAGTCCACCTGATGCAGAAACCAAACGGATAAAGGTCTTTCTAAACGAGACCCCAGGTATTTGCAGACAGGTGGCGTGCGTGCAGCGTTCAGTCAGAAGCAGTAACAAACAACATTTTCAAGTTCCTTCATTCATCACTCATTGTAGCAGCTTCACACACACACTCAACTAGAAACAAGAATCTGTCTCCTTCAGTCATGTACTCATTGGCATTTGGACAAACAAAACGAGTGCGACTGCTGGAAATTACAGCTACTGCTCTATTAAACCCAATATTCGGAATAATGTAATGTACGAGTGAAGAGAAGGAAAACAAAACAAGCTTCTAAGGCATCACAAGGTTTAGCCAGCGACCACAGCGCTGTAGATATATAAACTCACAGAGTCCAACGTTTACCCTTCACTGTGGCTCCCATTGGAAGAAGAGTCAGTGATAGAACAGGAGCCAAGGTGGAGAGCCGTCATCTAAGGGTTGACAAATTCAGGTCAATTGTTTTCATTTTCAAAAAAAGAAAATCACCATTTTTAAATCACCCAAATCAGTGTCCCACTGTCCACAAAGAACTGCCACCAAAAACGGACCAAAAAGTGAAAACAGCTCCAGGTGATTGAGGAGAAAAAACAGCATCCTACAGCTCGACCAATAGGATTATCCCATTGAAGTCATGGCAGCGTTATACATGATTAGAAGTCTTTTGTGTTGGCTTTTTGTTAGTGTAGCCTTCTGTAATTTTGGCTGGGACGTTGACTGGGACTTCGGCAGGTGCTTTTTTCTCTGGATGTTTTTCTGCAGCTTTTTCTGGAGGATGTGGAGGTGGAGGGGGATGTAGACCGGCCTCAGTGCCGATGTTAACAGTGATGTTGGTGTAGAGGGGCATGTATTCCCGTGAGATCAGCTCGTATTCAGCTGTGTTCATCCCATCCGACTTCCAGGTCTGACGTGTTTTGGCCAGCATGTTGAACCTTTGAATAGACAGAGCAGTGATGACCGAACGCTGCGTAGCTTTGCATTTTACTTGACATAACAGTTAGTGTTGTTTCTGCCGTTTCCATTTATGAACAAGTAGTGCAGGGTCTCTTTTACATCATCATTTGTGTTAATCTGCATGCAAACTAAAATCAGATCTGCTCCTAAATTCCCAAATTAAAATAAATACATCAAGTAGTTTACTGTACCTCTTTGGGTTCACATCATTGCCTTTGTCCAGCTTGTGTTTAATCATCTTGTAACGGCCGACCTTCACTGACGGACGACTGATGTACATCCCCCCCAGAGACACTCTAAAAAGAAGAGAAAGTATGTCTATCACATTGGGCTGTGCAATTAATCGTATTTTAATCGCAATTACGATTTGGCCTGCCACAATTACGAAAACAACATAATCGGAAAAAAACGATTATTTTGCTTTGCTAGGTTGTGACACTGCAACATATTTGATCTCATTTATTTGTATTTATCATATGTATATATGTTTAGTAGCTTGTTGAATTAACTCCAAAATATTTGTTGATCTTGTTTATTGGTATTTATTATTTTGATATTATTTATTTAAATGTAAATATAAATGTATCATTTATTTCATTTATTGGTTTTTCAGTTGAATTATACGTTCAGGGTAATCAACAGTTATAAGATACTGTTCAAGTTATTATTTGTATTTTTTTTTTAAAGTTCAATAAATTGATGTTTTCAAAGTCAATGAATAATCGTATTTAATAATCCTGATGTCAATTATTGACCAAAATAATCGTGATTATGATTTTTGCCATAATCGCACAGCCCTACTATCACACAGTACAACTGGATCACACTCATCTCCTTACAGTACGTGGTTCAAGAGACACAAATCAAAACATTGATCTTGTACCGATAACAGAGTCTGACCTACAGTAGGGTAGTACAACTGTTTCAATGTAATACTAGATCTACTCTTAATCCAGAGATCTACCACACACTGGAAATGCCACAATGAGTGACTGGCTACATATACTTTATTCTTAAGAGCATTCGGCCAAGGCTCACCTGAGTCCAATATCGTCGTCCTCTCCACCCCAGCCCCAGTAGTTGTTGGGAAAGCCATTAATCTTGAGGTAGTGCAGTGGCGTCAGAGCGGACACTCCTCCAAAGTACATCTTGTACGGAAGCCTGGAGAGGATTAAGTATTGCAGGTAAACACGTGTAATCGGTGAACAGTGAAGCCTTCAATGGATTATTAGACACAAGAAAGGACATACTTGTAGCCGAACTTGTCCATGGCGATGGCCACATGCTTGGGGTTGGAGTCGCAGACGTACGTGTTGCACAGACACATAATGTCAGAGTGATACAATCATCTCACTTCAATACAGCTCTAGACGTTTTTTTAACAGAGAGGCATCTAGCACAAATCAGACAACTTTGGAGTATGAGGGAGTTAGAGATATAGAAAATAAATCCACAAAATAGTATCAAATAATCAGGAAACCTTCTAGATGTATCAGAATAAATTGCAACATTACTGGGAATCATTGCAGGAAGAAGTGGAACACATTCATTCTTATCTGGCAAAAGAGAAAATAGCAAATGAGAGAATGCTGAGAAATACACATGAAACAATTGTTATACACAGCTAGAGATTAAAGCATCTAAGCATCCTCTTTCTCCAGCATGCACATGCAGGGACAGCACACTAGAGGGCACTCTTATTTAGCCCAGGGTATATGCAGGAATCCTGAAGTCAAATGTAATACCTTTTAAGACCTTTTTTAAGACCCTTTCCATACATTTTAAGACCTCATCGCCACTTTGAGTTTTAACCGGTTACATTGGCGACACTTTACCTCACATTTACTATATACAGTATTGATTGTCCTTCCTCCTTATCTTCCAACCATTTAGACGCAAACTTGCATTTCCCCATAACGATGTTGTTTAACAACCGGCGTAAACGGACCTTCACGCGCTATCAAGCAGTGAGCGTGCGATTTCCTGTTCAGATTACGTCAAATCCAACGGGAAGCCATAAATTAAAAAATAATTGAATGTTCTGACTATTATTTGATGTGTCAGGCTTCACTTAAAGGGGACCTATCATGCAAAATGCACTTTGTGATGTCTTTTATACATATGTGTCTCACGCAGCGTCAGAAAATAAAACCCTCTCTCTTTTCCTCCGTACCCAAATCTTTTAAAAACGGGGCTACAACGAGCGGATACAGATTCCATCCGAGCTGATGTCAGCCCGGAATAGTGGGCGGTGACGCTCCGCCTACATGGGCAACGCTCCACCTGCAAACGGACCGCAATCGTTATCAAAAAAGTCTTCCGTCCACACGCAACAGGCACCAGAAACGTGTCCGTTCACACGAGACCACTCCAAAGCGCTGGAGACGCTGTAGTACGTATGCCAGGCCTGTAAGTGGCGCTGTAGTCTGCCACAAAAGCAGCGAAGAAGATTTCCCGTGCATGGTTGCCATGGTTGCCCTTCTATTTATTCTCCGCTGTAGACGCTCTGGCTCTTTTTCTCCCTCCCCGAGGCAAGCGTTTGCTCCTGCTGCTGTAATTCTCTCCGGTAGTCCACCAGCAGATGACAAACACCCACCTCTTCGCCTCTTCCAAGGGACGAGGGGACCGTGCGGCAGAGTTTCAGTTAGATTTTTTTCGCCGGTCAACATGTCCGTTAAAGTTTAAATCTTCCGGACAAAATTAGAAAAGTGCCGGTCAGAGGTCTTCTTTGTTATTTATTGGACTTTAAAACAAATGAATAACGACTCGATATAATAATATAATAATAAAAAACGGAGCCTCTCTTTTCCTCCCCCTCTTCTGAGAGCCCAGCAGCTGATCCCCTCTCCTGCAAGGGGGCGTGGTCAGCTGCAGCTCATTTGCATTAAAGCTACGTCACAGAATCAGCCCTTGCAAAAACAAGGCTGGAATAGAGCGAATAGAGCGAAATGAGGCATAGCTGAAATGCATGATCTGTTTGGTATTTTTTTTTTTAAAACTTCACAGACATGTTTTATATAGGTATGGCCCAACAATATATTTTTCAAATATAGCATGATAGGTCCACTTTAAGGTGACGTTATCATTGGAAACAATACAAGCTAATTGTTTTGATGTAGAATCTATAAATTGAATCGTTAGAGCAGAGCAGAATGGTTGTATTGTAGCCTGAGTTTCGTGCAGCCTTTAGTTTTACTAGGTGGAAACATTGTCTATATAATGTGAATACATGTAGAACTAGACATTAAGAGGCCTCTGACATTAGGCCTATTTTAACAATAGTAGGGGCTTTTACCAGCTCGCCAACTTACAGGCATCCTCTGCGTTGCAGTATGAATAGCCTTAAAAAACCAACCCACTCTGCGGTAACGAGAGTCATGTATCTGAACCAATGCCCTAAGTGAAGCCGTTAGTCTCATCTGACTGACCCAAGGGTTGGTGCTGGTGTGACAGGTAGGCTTCCAAGTGTTTGAAGCAGATGTCATGCTTTCAGTTCATGGCTGGCTCAGTGGGGGGGAGCAGACCCATGTGAGACAGTATCAACGGCTGTAATGTTCAGTTTGAGGAGTGTCATTCTCTCTGGGAGCAGGAAATGGTGTCCATTCTCGGACCAGACCATTAATGTCATGTAGAGCAGCCATAGCATCTCTGTGACTGCACTCAGCCGGACTGCAGCAGGGCAGAACTGGGTGACTTTTAGTGAAGCCGTCCAAGGCAATAGACAAAATGGAACCACGTACTAACAAAAGGGACACAAGGTCATTAATGTCTCTCTTTACCTTTGGCCTAATTGTAAATTCAGTCAAAATTGGACGTGCACGGATCAGAATCTAATCAATACACCATTTTCCCAGCTCTGTAATGAAAAGGACATCAAGATTAGGTAAATTCTAAAATCTTATTCTAGTAGAGATTAGAGGACAGGTCTAATGTTGTGAACAAAATTATCAAGTCAAAGTTATTGATTTATTTTATCTTATGTACCCCATTTGATTTAATAATTAATCTTGACTTACTAATAACTTTAAAGAAGGCAACAATTTACAATGTGGATAAGGTGAATACTTAAAGTGTGTGTGTGTGTGTGTGTGTGTGTGTGTGTGTGTGTGTGTGCGTGCGTGCGTGCGTGCGTGCGTGCGTGCGTGCGTGCGTGCGTGCGTGCGTGCGTGCGTGCGTGCGTGCGAACAGCTTGTCTGCCTAAGGTTAAAACATTTGGGACAGCAGTGAGAATATGAGGCGCCTGTTATGAGAAACAATTTGTTGCTTAGACTAAACTCGAAGGAAGCTCGACTGGAGAATTTAAAATAAATCAAAACAACTGTACATTAATTAAATACATTTGACATTTAGCTTGAGCTGGCTTCAAGACTTTCTTCATGGTATTTAAATTGGGCTCAAGTAGAACCTTTACGTGGATTTGGCTTGCAACACAAAGTGATACTGATCTCTGTCTGTTATGATTTGGAAGTCTCATGATTTAAAGTGTAGGCCTTTGAAGGAGAGGCCCTTGGAAACAACATCTATTTTTCTCGTAATTACTTATTTTAAAGAGATTGCAACATTAGACTTTTAAAGAATTGCTCAATTCATTTAACAAATGTATTATGCACACAATAAAAACTTCAACAAACATATTGATCCTGGCTTAACCAGCGACCTTTACTCTTTTGTTCATGAGCTCGGTTTCAGAAAACTTGTCAGTAGTTTAACAATTATTTGAATTTTAGTAATGTCTATGGAGACCAATTGGTTGATACGAGAAACAATTTCAAGCAGTTTAATAAAGTGTTGAATGTTAAACTATATTTAAAACTGTAATTGAACTTCAACTTATATTAATTATCTGTATCCAGTGGCCAGTTGGAATAGATAATCAACAAAGTCTCCATTTTGCAGCAACAGCGCACAATGTTTCTACAATAATTCGTATTATGTCTGAGTCTAGTTCTGTCTTATCAGCTTTGTTTCGGAATGTGTTCAATACATAACTTTTTCATTTTTTATTATTACCATACAACACATAGATTAAGAATAAATGAAACAAATTATACAAAATGTACCTAAAAGAGCAGACAGATTTTGCAACCCTGACCTCCTCAGGCAGGTCTTTACGACCAGCAGTGGTGCCTCTAGGCATAGGGTTTATAAAAGGTCACAAACATATCTTAACATACCAGCAATACAATTTAAGAATGTATTCTTAAAACAACATAATCTTATTTTCTTCTTACACCTACAGCGCACACCCTGAACAGTGTGCTTCTTGTTTACATTTTCCTCTGCACACTCAGATGCAGGACATAAAAACACTCTTTTGCTATTTGCATAGACTTTTTTCTCTACCCTTTCTCTCCAACAACAAACACAGTTAGTGTAGTCCTCCGTGGACCAGCCTATACACTCGCTATCATGTTCATTACAACGATGAAACACAGGGTGTTTCTCAATCGCGAGTACGCTTGCTTGGTAGCACATGTCTGCCGAGCATCTTGCTTCAGAAGCGAGTCAAGAATACTTCCTGTCATTCGGAAAACGAAGAGTGGAACAGGCTAGCAAGTGTGCAGCTGTGCGTCATATGAGAGGCCCCGCCTTGAATCTTCCTCCACAGATTTGGGGAAATTGGTCCGTGCGCAAAGCATTGTGGGGATTTTAAGACCGCGGAGTCTACTCATGTGCAGCCTCGATATTTCTCCAAACGGAGTACGCCGGGCTCGGTAGATTTCCAAGTATGCTGGAGATTGGAACAGTACTTCGGCGGCACTCGATGACGTAGCATGCTTGAAATAGTGGCTCTGAAGCAGCTTTACTCGCGATTGAGAAACACCCAGAGTCTTGTTCTACACTCGCATGCCACTGCCCACCCGTGATCAATTAGCCTATCATTTTATGTATGCACCCCGGACCGGCACCAGTTCCTCCAGCAATGTAGGGAACTGTGGCGCATCAGGTAATGCATGCACCTCGCGCTGCCCCGTTTTACCAGCATGTAGAAAACGGTCACAAACAACGAGAGTGCTTTTAGACCATCTCGTTTTTAATAGAGACGGCGGTGGTGTGAGTTAAAGCTATAGACAAAGGCTGTGACTTTCTCCCTCTCAGTTCGCACTCCACCAGCTACACAGATACAGGGAGGTATTTACACACACACCCCGAACTGCAGCTGGAGCCATGATTAAAGAGGCGATAGTGGTGATATCTCTGGCTGCTTCCTCCTAACTGCTAGTGTTGGCCGCTGAAACCCCTAAAATTCGGCGATTTGTTCAATACAAATCTTTACATTGCTTTCATACAGAAGTTCCACTTTACTGATGCCCAGAGGTGGGACCA